TTTATATTTTATTTATTTTCTTAGTAAATGTCCTCTTTTCCCTTTGCCTAACATGGGAGAAAAGAAAACCAAAAACAAAATCACATATGTTGTGGTTTACAAAGATAAAAGCCTCATCTCAATTTTTCCACTGCTATAATTATCACAAAGCAAAATTAATGACATTTTTGTCATCAACTGACATTAATGGCACTTTGCCTTTACAGAGAGAACACTAACACTTTATTTCCATTTTCACTAAAACTTGAATAAGAAAAATCTTATAGAAGTATCTATTTAGATTGGCTGGAGTGAACTCACTCCCTTAACTCACATTTGAAAATAATTAAAAATGAATTGTTCCACTCCCAAAGAATAATGCTTTCTGTTACCACAAATCTCTGAGAAGTCAAAGGGAAAAGTTCATGTCATGCAAGCTCTTCCTCCTTCCTATCTAGGGCCTCAAGATACAATTGGAGGAAGCAACAGGGTAGGCTAGGAAGTATGGCAGAGGCTGTTTCTAATGAAAGAGTTTTCTCGGAAGAGCAGTCTACAGTTGAGTCTGGTGTCCCTTGAGCTAACAGTAAGAACCAAAGATCATACTTGTAGGACTCTAGAACTATCAGCTGAAAGGGACCTGAGAGCTTGCTTATCGGGTAAATTTTACAGATAAAGCAACAACACAGAGGTGAAGCAACTCATCAAAAGAAAAGCCACAGGAAGGATCCAATTTTCCTGATTTCAAGCTGCTTCCACCTTCCACCAGCTTGTCCATGGAGGTTCTAGTCCCGCATCTGGCAGAGGCGGCAGTGAGAATATCATTAGAAACGATGTTATATTGCTATATGGATGGTATCCCACAAATAGGTTTTGATAAAGGGCTTCTTTTAGGATAGGAGGAGTTAAAGGATTCAAAGGGATAATTCTCTCAGCAATACCATCACTATATAACTTCATATATTTAATGCTGATTTGAATGCTATTCTCAGAGAATCTGCAGTGGCCAAAAAGTTTCAAAACTTTTTACAAAAAGGAAGACTTCAACTTTCTGAATTAAAAAGACAGTATATTTGTGGATTAGTAAAGCATTTAAAGTAAAAATCATTACTAGATACTTTACAGCTGATATATAAGATGTGGCTATTAGTCATTAAAATGCATTTTTTAACTCAGTGGTATCTTAACTTCTCCTACCTGATTTATTCATTCAACAAACATGTTTCGAGCAACTACCATATGCATTTTGGGAACATACACACATATTCAGGAGTAAAAGACATAAAGACTAGCTAAGTATGTCTGTGCGCATATCTCTAATGCAAGGGAAGGACATGTGTGATAAAGCAGAGAGAAGAGGGAAGAAAGGCTAAGGAGAAGAAGACAGACAGCAGGGAGGAGCTGGACGTGGGAGAGTAAGTATGATTTTGAAAGTGGGGTGGATTGGAGAAGGTAGTATAGGAATGAAAGGACATTTATTTAGATGGCATGCACGAGTGAACGTAGGGGGGTGTGTGCATAAGCAGGTAAGGGTGAGATGACCATATTGCCTGGCATTCAAGGTTTACCTGGATGACAGCAGGATGAGGTGGAAGGACAGGTAGATCGGGGCCAGAGTGTGGAAGATTCTAAATGCCAAATTCAGGGTTTGAACTTGCTTAGATAGGCAAGAGAGACACGCTGATGATTTCTGGGCACGGAATAACAAAATTCAGGAGATGTGTGCAGGAGAAAGAAAAAACTAAAGGCAGTAACAGTAATTAGGAAATGATGACAATAGTCTAGCTAATGAACTCTTTCTAGAACTAGAATGGTGGCAGTGGGAATGGAAAGGAAAGAATGGATGTGATAGCTAAGTGATCTTTAACTATGTCTGATTGACAGAGAAGTGGAATAATCTCCTTCCATTACTTAGAGCCACGCTAAACCTGGTAAGGTTTGCCCATTGTCATTTGAGAAGGAGGTATAATTTAACACTCACCGAGCTAAGGAAGGGGGTCTTTAGGCCTTGCATAACTCTATATCCTTTTCAAAAGCATATCTTTCCATCAGAAGAGAAAAAAAGTGACAACTGTGTCTTAACCTATCCTCACCAGGAACTGCCTACTGCAAAAACTGCTCACACAAGAGGAGAAAAAAGGTCAAATTAGAAGGTTATCACTTATAACATTTCATACTGCATTCACGTGGAACAATTTATGCTTTGCCAAGCCCTTTCCTACTTATTTTCTCATTTTCCCTAAAGCAGCCCTTGAGGTATTAAGGGTGGGAATTACTGGCCCCATTTTGTAGAAGAGAGGTTTAATGCCTGCCCATGGACACGTGAGAGTTACCAGGACCAGAGCCTCCGAACTCTTACCACCACACCTTGCAATGCCATCGTTACATGGTCTTAGTTAAATGCAAGTGGTCTGAACTTTATGGGATTTAAAATAGAGGCTAGTTGGACAAGATATGGGTGCTGTGAAAACCCAGCCAGGGAAGTGGATAAAGGCTGCCCAGAAAATGTCCTCCACTGAATGAAACACAATCCAGAGCCCAGCTGGGAATTCCATTGCTGCCTTGGGTTTAGAAATTGTTTATTTTTATTTCTTGGCTTGAATCTTTCATTCCTGTCCTTGTCTCTTCTTGTCTCCCTCCTTTTCTCTCTCTCTCTCTTTCTTCTCCTAGCAGCCAGAGCCTCACTCCATACACGTCTCAGTGTCTAATACCATTATCTAAAAATACGCCTCACTCTAACAAGCTCAGTCTCCTGCAGGTGGCACAATTTAAAATTGATACCAAAGGAACATATCATATCATGATTAGCCTTTGATTCATTTACCCTGCATATTAAAGACCCAGAAATAAAATAAACATAGTTCATAGGGAAAAAATTAATGCAAAATGAAAGACTCTTTCAAGTGGCATTTTCAAGCCCAGTTTTTGTGGTGGGCTCATGCAATCAGACATAATTGTCTGCACATGTTTGGTTACACTATTTCAGAAATGATTCCCAGCCCACCAAGTGACGTCAGAGGAGTCAATGCTGACCCCCAGAGTCTGAGGGCTGCTCTCTTCTGTGCCACCCAATTAGGAGAGAAAGATGTCAAATAGCAGAACTGCCAGCCCCATTTCCTGCCCAGTCATGTAGACTTTCTTCAGTTCTCCCTCTGCGTGTGTGTATATTCTCGTCCCCACACTCTTATACTTTCCTCATGCTCCTCTCTTCCACTTATATATAGAGCAAAGCTTTTTCTGGAAAAATCTATCTTAAATCTCAAAAAGATTCAGGAAATGCATAAATGTACATGTGCTTGAACCCACATACACAGACAAACACAGAGCAACTTCATTCATTTGGAATCCATTTTTGAAAACATACTTCTCCACCCTGGTATGCTGTATTTCTCTAAGCAAGCTTCTGGCAAGTCAGCCATTAATATGGTAATAATAATTAGTATTAATAGCATAAGCACAAGAAGGGAAGAATCCCTCTGCTCTGGAAATTCTTTCTAGAAAAGTGACACAATTGCCCAGAGTATGTTTAACAGGGTTAGCTTTCACTTCACTGCTTCCCTCCCAGATGGGGACTTGATAAATATTATATAAATTCAGAGGGGATTCTGCCTAAAGAAGGTAGAAAATAAAGAATTCCTAATTGGAAGGGGCCTTAAAAGTCACTAAGACATTCGCAACCTGGTGCTCGACTCCGTTCTACAACATCCGTACTTAGGAGATAGCCAAACCATGGTTGAATGCTCCAATGATGGGTAATTCTTGACTTCCAGAGGCAGCCCATCCCTTCTTTGTGAGAAAAGCCCATAAAATGTTGAAGTGAATGTGTTTCTCTGAATCTTCTACTCATTGATCCTATCCTACCCCCTACAGGTCTATCATTCATGATGAATCTAATCCCTCTCACAGAAGACAGCATGTCTAAAACTATTACGTACCACCAACTCTTCTCTTTTATGGGCTAAGAGTTCCTAATTCTTTCAACCATTCTTCATCTGATGAAACAGTTGGTATTCTCCTGATTCCTTCTAGTCTGATCATAGTCTTGTATGATTTGACCAGTGCAGAGGTGAAGGAGCCATCACCTCCTTCCTTGCTGACACTATACCTCAATTAGTATAGACTAGGATTACATTAATACATCACGCCTACCTTTCCTTCCTTCCATCCCCAATTTATTTAAATCATAACAACAGAAACAAAAAATCATCACCATCAACCAACCATAGTTTTCTTCAATACTTCCGAGCCGAGAGTTCTACTGGAGCCTCTTGTGACCTCTAAAAGGCCAGAAAATCACCCCTGATCTAAAGAACCGCCTCCTTTTCCAGACTGCCCTCTTGTCCCAGCTTGCTGTCACCACTGCTGAGATAGCGGACGATTGATCTGAGAAATCAAGTTGGATTGCTGTCCCAAATCTACACTCGGTTCTCCTTGTGTCTGTCTGATCGATTTCACTCTATGCGACATAGCTTGTCGCTATGAATTTTCATGCTAGTCAGGAGCCGCCAGCGCATCCAAGAATAAGTAGAAGATGGTCTGTACCCCTCCCCATCCCTTAAACATTCTCAGCTTCTGTGTTAATTTCTGTTTTTTAATTGTCCTTAGACAAATTGAAGAAAGGATTTTTTTTTAGACCACAGACCTGGACGCAATGGATTTTGGCTACTGGTTTCCTCCCCAGGTTCCCAGGCCCCAGCTTGTGGTGACATTTCCTACCACTGTTGTAGTAGGTGTCACCTGTTTAGCAGCTCCTCTCAGCTGAACGCATGTGGCCGCAGGTGCCATGCAAACACTGATTGTGTCTGACAGCCCTAGACGCCAGCTGCCTGCATGAAGCCTGCCCAATCACCACTTTTTTGTGGGTAGAATGCCGCCGATGGCATGACCGATACAGAAACAAGAAACTAGGTGACCGTAAAGCTAAGATAAGTCCTACTAAGTGGCATTCTGTGAGCCCTATGGCTTTGAAATAATTGGTAGTGATAGAATAAAAACAAAGGGTGCGGGGAGCCTTGTTTTCTTACACTGATGCCCTGCGGACTGTACATCTGACTGGCTGCGAGTCCGTCACTGTATCCTCCTGTCTGGCTGATAACATGGCGAAGGGTATCCACCTAAACAGATGAACAAGAGAGGAAATTAGTCAGGGAGATGCAAGCAAAGGGAGGCAGATCATCATGACAGAGGCTACCATTTGGGCATGCCAAATTAATATGATAATTTTGGAGATATTCTTCCTGGGAAATGGTCCATTAGGAGGAGGCTGGGCCTCCTCGATATGCCAAATCCATTACCCTTTCTGAGTTCAGTAGGCAAGACAGCAAACGGTAAAAGAAAGCTGGGACTCCCAACACTGAAACTAATTCAATAATGCTGCATGAGATGGCAGGGACTGGGGTGACAGAAGGGGTTGGGGGAGAGAGTGAAGGAATTTTCCCTTGCCTACAGATCATCCTGTTAGCTTCTCCTTTGTTGAGTATCCTATAAAAGTCCAGGTTCTGTTTAGAGGGGGTGTGGGCAGCCACCTCACAGAGAGAGCATTATGTGACTAACGTTCTATCTTTTTGAAGACTTAAATGAAGGCCAGTTGTTTAGTCACTTGACCAAAGTCTGACCATATCTCCTCAAACTTGTTTCCAGGCAATGCTTCTTGAGTAAGGGGCTGAACCACTGACCAGCTGGTCTACTCCAGGCATGGAATGCTTCCTGTTCCACATGCACAGTGGGAAACTGGATGGACATGGCTCAGAACTTCCCAGTAATTCTGACTCAGAGCATGCTGCTTTATCCTGTCACATCAGGCTCCATGCTGAGAGTAGGATGGCTTCCTTCTGCTGTGAAGTGTAGTGAAGGCTAGCTGCTTACTAAGGAACACTGAGGGTTTACACCACACGACTTGATTTTTGCTTCCCAACATGGTCTTAGACTCATCACCAGAAACCCAAGTCCCTTGACCTCAAGGATGACTGAGAAGATGAGTTTAGTCAACTCGGCTGGGTGTTTGTAAAGCTTAAAATGAAAACATGAGACACTAAGGTATTTGCCTACTCATTAATTACCTCCATATTGGGCAAATATTGAGTGTGGGAACCAAAAAACAAGAGGGACACCTGGAAAGTGAGACGATGGACTGAACTCCTCCTCCCTTTCCCTTTAGTGGACAAAGAATACGCTGGTTCTACTTGCCTGATGGGCCTTGGTCACCTCACCCTGTGCTTGCTGCTCCTCTCCCGCCTTCCTAGTGTAACTGACAAGCCAGAGCCAAACGCATTCACAAAGTGTGGACGAGATTCCCCACGACAATGGTTGTCTTTGTTTTAGTTTGGTTGTTGGTAAGGTTTGGTTTCTACATTTCTCTCTCTCTCTCTCTGTTTCTGGACAGAAGCAGGAAGTGCCAATACAACTGAGGGCTCTTGGACTCTAACGCATTCACCTGGCGGCACATTGGCTGGGTCCCTACCTGTGATTGCACGTTGGCTCCAACCTGGGCCCCTTGGTAAGAATCCCCATTGAGTGACTGCACGCTCATGAACAAATCTCCAGAGTTTGACATGTTAAAAGAACTGGAAGAACCTGGAAAGGAAAGAGTGAGGCACCTGAATCACAGAAAGGAAAAAGCTCAACCCCCGCAACTAACGGCCAAGAGGAAGGATGACATGCAAAGCAATCCCCCCAAATAAAAATTAAAATAAAAATAATATCCACAGAGTCTGGTTAGTAGCATGAAGAACAGAGCAAGCAATAAAGGGTGCATATCGCTCATGTTATGTGAAGCCACATCTGACTGCAAGTTGCCAATAGGACTGCTTCCCCTTAGCAACTTCAAGCTGAAAAAGGGAACACTGATTCTTCTCAACATAATCTATTTGAATTGGAGACAGTCTCCAGATCTAGAATCTCTCTTTCATGCCTCTAAAATTCGAGGGTTGGCCAGGGGACCACGAGCTGGTTAGCTAGAGAATATGGGCTGGTCATTCTGCCACCACAATGGAGCACACAAGCTATTCAGCTGGTTTCTAAATAAGCTACTGCCAAACCAATCTACTCTCAATAGGGAGCAGCCCCTGGGAGGGGAGTGCATGGAGGCGATGACACACACTAGGGCTGGCCCTGTGATATGAGTGCATTCACATTCCTGAATTCTAGACAGAAGTGAAGTTCCTTGTTGGGTGGCAAACAGCCCAAGACAGCCTTGAGGACTTCAAGAATATGTGAGAATGATATACTCTTCCCTACCACCTGCCATTGGGGAGGAAGATGAAACAGAATCATGGGCCAGGAATTCTCAAGCATGCATGAAATATGAAATGCTGATAATAATAATAATAATGATAATAATAATAAAAGTGGGCCTCAAGAAGAGCAGTTAACCATCTGCTCTCATCTCCCAGAGATGGAGCCTTCTCCCAGAGAGTTAGCCTTTAGGCACCACCCAGGTTCCAGTGGCTTCATTGTGGTAAATCTAACCCACTCTCAACCTCAATGCAAGGATGTGGAAAAGCTTAATATTATTCTGAAGTCATCGTGCAGCTCAGCGCATTAGGAAAGAAAGCTCAACGTGCAAGGTTTGGTTAAAACATGACGTTAGCCTGGCAAAGGAGAGACCTTAGGGACCCAGGTCAGTTCCACTCTACTATTTCCAACCCTATATTGCTCAAATTGCACTCCTGCCCTCATATTCTGAGACAGCCATCATCCGTGTGGAATCGCCCAACAATGATTCATGCCTCAGCTCTGACACTTTCTCTCCTTTCTCCCAAGATAGAGTTTTGCGCTCTCCTAGAGAGCTTCCTGCCCCATAAGAAGAGCTGCAGCTAAGCAGATTTTTTTTTTTCCATAGAAAGACCACTTAACTAGCAATGAATTCTATACTCTGCCACTCTGTTCTATGCTGAACTATTCATAGTATCCTCATACTTCAAAGGCCAGAGCCATTTAGAGGAACCAAATGATTTACTTGAGGACAATGTATTTGAGGACAACCTCAAGTTAAGACACATCTCCATTTTTTCTTTGTTTGTTGGGACGTTCATCCACACGCCAGGAAGTAGGTAACTATTTTGCTACATAAACTGATCCTCTACTCTCACTCCCTTCTCGAGGGAAAAAGGGGATGCTTTCTTTGAGAATGGGGATGGCTTAAGCACCATCCAAAGAACTATGACATATCCATAGCTCTGCAACACGTCCTGTCTCATCAGACACACATTTCTCTGTTTAGCCTATCTGAAAGGAATTAGAAAAGCGGATCTTAGGCAAAATAGGCACAAGATTTGACCAGGTGTGGCTTACACTCAGTCAGTGGGCTGGAGGCTTGGGCCTGGAACTTCCTTCCACTGATGTGGTACAAATCTTCCAATAGTCCCCCCAAACACATGGGTGAAGCAGTGGGCAGCACAGATCACATTCTCATGTTAGATACATAATACTCAAGCCTCTATGTCCTAGTTACATCCCTCTCGAATCTTTCTTTCACTCACAGTAATATAACCTAAATATTAAAAGCCATTTTGTAATAATTGTTACAACACATGCTCACATTTAGATGTCATCAGAACCAAGAACAGTCAGCTCCAAGAGCCCAAATTATAATTGTTTATTACATCAGAATTTTTTTTCCCACAAGATTGTTCAGATTGAAGTCCAGGTATTCTGTTTCTCTTCCAATCAAATACCATGTAATAAACACACACTCTCTATGCTTGGCTGATGGTTTATTGGAAATTAGCACACAAACTGAGAAATGGGAGAAACCCCCAAAGGGCTACACTGATGCCAAGTAACATAGCATCCATGGAACCACGAAGGCATGGAATGTGCCATTTATAAGATATACACTGCAACTGACACAGATGATTTTAAAAATATATGTGAATAGGTAAATTGTAAATATGTCTGGCTGCCTAATGTACATAGAGATAAATATGCACATATCAATGCACTTCATGTACAAATGCATTTGAATCAGAACAATAATTGCAGGAGTAGTCCCTGTGCTCTTTGCTGGGCTGTTTCAGCATTTGTCTCTGTACACCCATGTACAACACTACCATGGCTTCTGACTCTCTGATAAGTATCTAGAGGCAGGGATTGCTCTGAGGGAAGAGACCAGATGCCACTAACACCACAATAAAGCAGACAGAAGTCCACACAAAAATCTAAATAATGAGGGGAAGACATGTTCTTCATTTGGCACTGGAAGTTGGAAAAAGCTTATCACAGAATGGATAACCTCCTGGGAAGGAAATAATTCATAGACAAATAATGAGTGGGCCCTCTTGGAGGTGCTGTGAAATTCTCAAGCAACTAAAACAGAATTACTTGGCTTGCTGAGAAGGTCAATCAGGAACCTTACCTGCGGGTGGCTGTAAAGTAATCAGCAATTACTAGAAGCACATTTTAAGACGGGCTTGCCAGTTAAAAGGTTTTGAATTTGGCTTGGGAAGAGAGGAAAGTGGCTCATGTAAGCTGCCATCCAGACATTCGGGGGATGTACATAGCTAAGTCTGCACTCAACTAGAGAGAGAAGCAATAATGGATCACCTATGATTCTAATGCACTTGCTGAAGCAAACATGATGATGTGGAGATGTGTTAACATCCATTTTCATAAGACAATTTCCCAAAGTCTGCATTCTACTCTAAGGAGTCTTCAGGAGACTTAAACTTGTGTAGGAAAAAAAAAAAACCAGTTAACTTCATAATCCAAAAAACAGAATACTACTGATAAAATCTAAACCTAGAGCAGAGTTTCTCGACCTTGGCACTATTGACATTTTGGGCCCAATCATTCTTTTTTGTGGTGAAATGTCTTATGTATTGTAAGATGGTCAGCCACATCCCTGGCCTCTATCCACTCGATGCCAGTAGCACCCAGCCCCCAAAATTGTGACAACCAAAAATGTCTCCAGACATTACCAAATGTCCTCTGGGGTGCAAGTTTACCCCAGTTGAGAACCAACAACCTAGAATAAGAATAGATTTACTGTTTCTTCCTAAGGAACTCAAATTGTTTAAAAGTACTAGCTCTTTATTTCTCACAGTATTTTTATGAAGCAGATATATGCAAGTATTGCCCTAATTTTTGCAGTTTAGAAATCAAGGCTCCAGACAGATTATGTGGCCAGTCTGATCTAATGGGACTCCCACACCATTTAGAGGCTCAAAAGGTAGAGCCTCTCTGCTAGATGTAAGCTTAATTATGACTTATTCTTGTTTCTCTGTTTTCCATGATTCTTCCCCTTCCAAATTCCAAAAATCATTTTTACTTTCTAATCAGGGCAAAGTACAAGAGGGAAAAGCTGTCAGGCTCAATGTGAAATCCCTTTAGTAGGTGTGCACGTCAAGGTTCTAGAGCTCTAATTCCAGGAGGCTGTGTTTTCATTTTCCACTTAGAAATTAAGGAGTGAAACAGGAAGAACACAGCAGAAAACATGAATGGGATAAATTCTTTTACTTGGTTTTAAAAAGCAAAATTATAAGGGTTCCTATGGATTTACTTGAAGTCTCAGTCAACTTCTATGGATGTGTTACCTCCTCTCTGTGCCTGCTATGCATAAACTCATCTTAGAAGCTAGTGTCCAGGGGTTTTAATACGATAATCTTCCATCAATCCAGAAAAACACCAAACTTCCTATTGAGGTGTAATATGAATATGTACAAGGGCTTGCCACTAACTAAATAGTGCTAGAGGAAGAAGTTTCATGGCTGAATTTGCTGTTGTCCTTGACACACACACACAGCTAAGCAAAAGAATTCAAATCTGGGGGGTTCTGAGCCTCAATAAGCCTGGGACTGCTTAGCTAATCCCAGAAACTGATAAAATACGGAAGTTGACGCTATGCCACAGCAAGCATCTGTAATGCACAAGCCAATTTCTTTCTTCTTGGATGTTAAAATGTTCTCCAGAAGATAATCCAACCTTCCAAAAGGGGCCGCAATTTTCCGAGATTTTAATTCTTGCTTTTATAATCTCACAAAAAATAGGAAATTGAGAATGTGTCACTCTAGGTGACTCCAGAAGAATTATAAACCCAGGATTACAACTATTGCTTCAACTGGTTCCCATTCTTGCTTTCTTTTTTTCAAAACTTCATTTTCTTGTCTTCCTTCTATTCTTCCTCTTTGCTCCGTCCATTTTGCCCAACTCCACTGGTGTAAAATACGAAGCATGCCAAGTATCTCTAAATGCCTGCTAATCCCCCACGGTTTCTAGTCCCAAGTAATTTTTTTGAATTATGCTTAAGGAAATAGAAGACAAGGCATATATCAACAAATAGGAATATTTTAAAGTGGCCTAAATAAAGATACTGAAGTACTGCTCTCCACACTAAAGCCTCTAGCAGGAAGAAGATTTACTTGCAAAGTATCTTCCTTGCAGTAGAAATGAGTCTTTATATTTAGCAAAGCTTCTGGAAAAAACTCCTTCAATATCGAACATATAAAAAGTTCCCAGGTTCCAGAACTTGAGACTTCAAACTCAGCCAGAATGTATTTTCCCAGATTAACCTCTTATTTAAAACTTGCTATCTATTTCAATTATCATTTAGCCTTTGAAATTATCAAAGAGCTAGCATACAACATTATAAACACCCTCTGGGAAAAGTTTGAGCATTTTAAAGTTCTCACTTTATTTGTGCAATGCTTTGGCTTCTGTAAAGAGCAAAGGAAAATACAGAAAAGCCCATTTATAACTTTTCCTGTTAAAACGTTTATCTTTTAAAATACCATGCTATTGCACATATACAATAGAATTTTCTTTTGTCTCTACTTTAAAAAAAGCACTATGAAGCAGTTCTTCTGCATATTATTTCCAACAACTTAGACACCACTGGAAGGCTTAGCTCAAACTTTCCATAATAATTTACTTTGTGCTCAGAATAGTCATATGAAGTTTAAGCCACCAGAAAAATTCCTTAGAAAACTGTAATCATAAACTGACATTCCAAGAGAGCCAACATAATTCTTAAATATAGAGTCGGGGGTTAAAATGCTTACTTTTCTCTTTTTAAATGCTTTAGGAAAGAATAAAAAGTTACAGATTTAGTAATGAAGGGAGTCCACAGGGCCCTTCTAAGGACTAGTCATAAATCATGCTAAGCCATCTGCGATGCAGATATATCAAGGATAGGAAAAAGTCATTTTGATATCTGTTTTGCATTATGATAACCTTTGCAGGAGTGTTGAGTGTGTTTTTGCTAATGTTGACAGAACTGTACTTCTTCCAAAGAGGCAAGTGAAAATGTCTGCCTAGCAGTGCAATTCAACTAGTGTTGCTGGGTCTGAAATGCTTAATAATTGGCCAGATGGGGAAGAAGGAAACCCTCTGGTTATTGAACCCGTTAGCCTTGATCCTTTGTCAATCATACCACGATGGGAAAAGAAGGAAACACACCCAAAAAAAACCCTTGAAAAGCAAATATCCTCCTCATAGTAACCCAATGTGGAGTGCTGGGAAAAATAAAACCAGACTGAATTCTACATTGTCTTACCATATCCTTGTTTACAAAGCCCAGGCCACTCTTCATGCATGATGCCATTTAAACAAAAGAAGGCTATGATGCTACAACTCAGTGACTTGGAGAACCTTGTGATAACAAATTAGTGCATCTAGAAGCTCACAGAAGATGTTAGTGTGTGGAGCTTTCCATGTCTCCAATAATAAACCACCACACGGTAGAAAGAGAACTTATTTTAGTATACAAACAAGCTTTGGGGTCAAAGATCCCACATAATCCCCAAAATGCTAGACATTAGATTTTTAATCATATTATGATCTAACATACATAAATTTATGACACTTGAAAGTTGGAGTTGTCAATATTCTTAGAGGTGCACCCCACAGCAAAAATCAATGCATCTAGTTCATTACAGGGAAAATATCATTATCTAAGACCAAACATTTAATAAGGAATTATTTCTGGTTTTCTCTACACAAAGAAAGGTACCAAAATGCCAGCCATAGCATGCAAACACTAAGGTTATATTTTATGCATTATCGACTATGTTTTTTTCACATGTGTAAATTCAGAACTGATGGTACAAGGCACACCCAAAAATATATTGTTAGCCTAAACTCCGAAATTAGTGATACAGTGTATATTCACTAAAATAAAACCAGGAGCAGAGCACATGCCTAATACTGTAACTTGAAAATTAGAATCTGAGTAACCTGAATTAATGAGCGGCAATTTTCTTTGCAGTTTACAGAAAGAAAACCAACAAAATAAAACAGTAAAGAACAACAACTATAAACCACATATAGAAATAATCGTAGTCTGGCTTTGCAGACCAGAACATTCTAATGAGCTATTTAATAAAAGAGTGAATATTCCCACATAGAATGCATGCTAGCAGGTGACCTAGACATTATGTGGTGGAAACAGCAAAACAGACAAGGATAAAAACTTTATATAAAACAGACTAAATGCTAGAACCCCAAGGGACTCTCTCTAAGCATGAGATCTAGCTTATTTACTGGCATCTCCGAAAGCAGAATTTATAGGTCTCCTCATCAAAACCAATCAATTTACTTCTGTCCAACTTTAATAGGCACATCAGTGCAAACCTCCAGACAAGCACATCTTATAAACTGTAAAACACTTTGCTCTTTGGAAATGAAAGAAAAACCCAAAGTGGCATCAACAGCAAAAAACACAATCAAATACATAAATCATCCAATCAGAAACCTAAAGAATTAAAAGAAAACCTCAATGTAGGAAAAGTATAAAAATGGAGAACAAGCCCCCCAAATCAAAGAAAAAACTAACCAGCTGAGTTGGGAGTTGAGGGTGAGTTAGCTTGGCTTCCATGAGCTGACACATTGGTAGCAGTGACAGCCGTTTTGGCAGCATAAATATTGGCTTCCTCTTGAAATTTACCTATGTTCTTCTTGTACCGGATTCGCTTATTTCCAAACCAGTTTGATACCTAGAGCAGTTTAAGAGAGGATAAGAAAGTTAACATTTCATCCTTCACAAACATCTCAGAAGAAAGGGAGAGCTTATGAGAGGGTTTGAAGAGGTTGGCTAATTGGTCTTCTATTTCTGATTTCTCAACAGCAATTAAAAGATTTGAGGTAAGAGCTTTGAAAGGAGCAACTATATAAAACGAGATTCTCCTCAGTGTAACACAACTTAGCAAAACCACTGTGACAAAAATTTTTGTCAATGTGGAGGAGTTGCTCATTTAAACCAGTCTCTTTTTAGTTTGGGGCAAGCATTTCAAATTTGCTTACCTCACAAGTATATGACACTAAACTAAACATAACATTTCAGAAGAAATGCCTGTTACTTATCAATGCTAAAGCTGACTTTGGGCAATCAAAACACATAGCCTTTAAATATCCATATAAATCTATATCAACCTATGGGTGCTTTCACTGATGGGTTAATTTCAAATTTTTATAAGTTAAATAACTAATATGAACCAGATTCTTAGCTGCATTGTACTACAGACCTTAGGATCAATATAATTCAATCCACTAGATTTCACTAAGTATTTTGTGCAAAGCTTGGTGATATCTACATAAGGGAAAAGTGAAGCATCCAACTGATTATTCCTTGAATTCCAGGTTTTAAACGTTAAAGCCAATACACATAATAAACCTAATTTTCTTTCATTTGTTACTTTATTTCTTTCACGTGGCTCACAGCAGCTGTCTTGGCTTGATTCTGTACTCCTATTCCCTTTATATCAAGACCTCTGCCAGACACAAGTGGAGACATAGTGAAATTCAAGTTTTAGTCTCATAATTCCTGCCTTAGGAAGGAAAGTTTTATATCTCATATTCCAGATGTGATTTTAAACTAAAATGTTGTAGTTTTTATATAATTATAAAACAAATTATGAATTTGGTGATGGAAGAAGTTGATAACCCATGTACCACAGCTTACATATAATTTATATTTATACTCAACAATGGCAGATAAAGAAAATTCTTGTAAAACCACAGTTATTTTTTAAATGCATTAGTAAAATTAAAAAATCTTGTAAGGCTAGCTCTCATAGACCTATACAGCTTATACTACAGCAGAAATGCCAAGCCTTTGTTATAAAAATCAAAACATACCATTGCAATATTAGTAAATGACAGAAAAAAATCAGTAAGAAAATGCTTTATTTATTGCAAATTCTGGTGCCTACAGGAAGAGTTAAACTCGGAAGAGGAAAGGCACTTCTGGGTACATGTAATTTCTAACTAATTTCACTCCCAAACTCATGTTTTTCTCGATATAACTTTTCACTATTCCTATGAATCAATCATAATTATGGTTGCTTTTTGACTTCTAAGTGAAATGGGGGAGAGGAAAAGAGGCAAAGAGATTCTTCTGAGGTAACTGGATGAGCTGGAAGAAAGAGGGAAAAGAGGAAAGTACTTTGGGAGGACTTCTGAGGAAGAAAGGAAATGTCTGACGTCTAATTAAATCAGCTGCATGAGAGAAAAATGAGAAGGAAGAGGGTGGAGAAGGGACATGTTGTGGGAATGATTCCCTTCTAAATGAGAAGAATAGAACTGGTAGGGAGGATGCTAGGTCAGTTCAGGCATTTCCTACATTGTCCACTAGGTGATATCATATGCCCTGGACAATGTATAGAACCAGGGTTTTCATTAATCAACCCACTGTTCAACAGTCATGGGCTAAGTGTCTACTATGTGCTAGGCACTAGGGATACACAGATGACAAACACAGTCTGAGACAGGTAATACAGAAGGAATCATAGATCCTCTGGGGAGAGTTTGATTCACGTTTTGAATATGTTTTTATTTATTTTTTTTTATAATTTTATTTATTTATTTTTCCCCCAAAGCCCCAGTAGATAGTTGTATGTCATAGCTGCACATCTTTCTAGTTGTTGTATGTGGGACGCGGCCTCAGCATGGCCAGAGAAGCAGTGTGTCGGTGCGCGCCCGGGATCCGAACCCGGGCCGCCAGTAGCGGAGCACGCGCACTCAACCGCTAAGCCACGGGGCCGGCCCTTGAATATGTTTTTAAAGTTTGCAAAGCCTGTGGGCAGAGCCATGATGAAGTCCAGTGAGAAGTAAAATATGAATTTGATGTCCAGGAGAGAAGTCTTATCTGGATATTCAAATAGAGGTATACTTGCAGCTGTAGGCATGGAGGAGATCACTCAGATGAAGTGAGTAAAACAGTGCCTTTCAGAGTCAAGTGTGCATGGAGAGCTTGTTAAAACTCTCTAGCCTCCTTCCCGTCCCCCCTCAGAGATTCTGACTCAGGACTGGGGTGAAACCCAAGAATTTACATTTCTAACAAGCTCCTAGGTGCTGCTGATGCTGCCTTCTGTGGATCATATTCCAAGCAGCGCTAGCATAGAGGAAGGGCTGTTTAGGCATCAAAGGAGAGGATGGCCAATAGATGGATTTCAGATGGATTTTGGTATATGAGCATATTTTTGTTTTGGATCATGGAAGGAATCAGTAGTAAGTAGATTTCAAAAGAATCTGTGACTTTAAAAAAAATGGTTCAGAAATATGAGCTGGGGCAAGAATAGATTAGAGCTAAAGAGAGAACAATATTTTTAGGGTAGACAGTAGAGAACAATATTTATAAGAACAATATTTTTAGAGACAATAGATCCTCTAAGAAGACTCAGTGGAAGTGGCCCAAGAGGAAGGAGGAAACTCCAGAGAAAACAGTGTCAAGGAAGCCAAGGTGGGATAATTTCATGACGGAGGGGTGATTGTTAACCGAAAAAAAAAAAAAAAAGACAAGAAAGGCACAGTTCAAAAGGCACCTTCTAGATTGGGGAACTAAAGGGAGATTTAATAAATCACGTGATCCAATGAACCATGATTGGTTGATAGGGCAACTAAGACCCAGAAAGAAAGACTGAGTTCCCTAAAATCCCACAGTTGACTATCGGCAAAAAGAAGCATCTAGCCAAATGCTCTTTCTACAATTTCATATCATATTGTATCCCATTGGGACTTGTTTGGCAAGGATGGCACAGCTTGGCTACTGTTGGAGGGGAATGATGTGATGGTGAAGGAAGAATGTCATGGCCTTGGGGTGGGCAGAGCAAAGGGAAAGTGATATAGTATATAAGTAATCATTTTAATGGACAAACTATTTGCACCTTGAGTTTCCACACTGAAGGAAGTGAACGTTGCTGGAACACGCCAGGATTCCATCTTTTATCTAGATATAATACAGATTATAGTTGCTGAAGAATTCATTCTATCTTCAACAGAGATTTGGAATACTGAATCCCAGAATTTGAATTCAGACAATACAGTGATTTAATTCTACTTCAGAAGCAGAAGATTCCATGACCGGCATTCACTGATTGTGAGTTAGTGATGTGCGTCAGACCTGGAACCATTCCTAAACATGCAGCAAATATCAAAAAACATCAATTCTCTTTTCTTGTGGATAAGAGGTCTAGATTTGAAGAATTGTTAGAGACCTAGACAAAACTAGGCCACCTGAGTTTGACCATTGATTTTTCTGCTTTCCCAGCGTTGTTAAGACTGGAAACGACCTTCCGCTGGGTCAAAGCACCTAAAGAAGGTCTGAGTTGAAAAGCAGTTGATTCTTTCTGCCTTATCTGAAAGGATGTTTCCAAGGCTGCTGCAAAAGCACCATAGCTTATTGGGGAGGCCCTGGCAATCTCTTCATTGCAAATACCCTGTGTGGAGTTCTATATTCTGACGAGACCTAATTCTGCTGAGCTAAACACAGGTTGAGGGAATCAGTACCCTGTGGGGAGTAACAGAAGCCAGGATTCAATTCAAGGAAGTACAGATGCTCAGTTTACACAAAACAGCATCTACTTTGTTTGGAAAATGTTAAATGATGTTTCTCACTAGAGTAGGCCTCTTCTCCTCTACTTCCTCCTCCTTTTATGGAAATACCAGGACATTTGGTTCTCTTGCATGGGACATAATTCTAAGGGAAACTTTCTCAGATAGATTTCAGATCCATCACCACTAGTCTAGAGACTAGTGGTGGTATTTGAGGTTCAGAATGAATAAGTTTAGATGGATCCTTTGAGTGGACAAAATGAATGTACATACATATAAATATTGCCTACTTTTATACTTCACATCAATGTTGAAGACTCCAGGTCTATAAAATTTTTGTCATGTATCTTTCCACATCAACAGGCACCTGTTATGGTTATTGCTCCTTGAGGGAATGGGGCACTCAGTGACATTTTGTGCAACCATTCCAACGCTATCACAGTGACATGTTAAAATTCCTACACTCCGTCAGTTACAGAGCGAGCACATCAAGAGAAGACGTTTGAGTCCCTTTCATTTACAAGTTCCATTCACTGACTCTTAAAAAGTTCCTGGGTTGGGCAAAAAATGGGCTAAGGAACTGACCATGTTTAAGAAAAATACATGAGAAATGCAGAGAGCTTTCCAAGTACCTGTAAGAATCTTCACCCATTTGAAGCAATGGAGGGCTCAGTGGGAAGAACCCTATCTCTGTTTCTACATTGTAGTCCCCTTAGTCTTCTCCTACTTCTGCTGGTCCCTCTCAAGTTTTTCCAGGTAATTACCTGGAAACTCTCTTATTTATACACACTATGTGCTTATCTTGCCATTTTAGGGCATTAGCTGATACAACTTGCAAGGCATGAAAGTTGAGTAAAACAAGACCTCCGAGACCCTGCCATGTGGCTCTGCCACAGCCAGGCTACAGGCTGAGCCTTTTCAGAGCTCCTTACCTGGGACACTGTGATGCCACACTTCTTGGCTAACTCCTCTTTGGCTTCCTCACTGGGGTAAGGGTTGCTGAGATGGGAATAGAAATATTCATTCAGGATTTCCGTTGCTTGCTTGTTGAAATTCCGTCTCTTCCGCCTTCATATAGAGAAAGGAAACAATGACAACAAAAAAAGTTCACACCAAATACATATAAAAATGGAGAGAAGAGGATCTACTTCTGGGAGAGGACAAATTTTTGAGTGAAAAGTGAATTAGGAGAGATTTGCACAAAGGGACTGGATGCTGAAACCATCACTAAAAGCACTTGTTAAATGCTTCATTGTGCACTGTAGGGACACTGACCAGAAGAACGGCCACAAACATTTATCCAGAGTGGTGATGCGCATGAAGTTTCAAAATTCAACCATCTTGGTTTTGAACACTGGACCCACTGAGTACCAGGTGGGTGATTTGGGATGCCTCTCTAAATCTCAGCGTCTTCACATGAAAGTCAAGAGAGTCATACTGACCTCATAGGGTGAGAGTAAGGGAAAAGTGAGGCCATTCATAGAAAGCACTTGGGACAGTGCCTGGTACATGGCAAATGCTAGGACATAGTGGTGATTCTTCCTACCAGATTCCAGGCATTAGACCTTACCCCTCGTAGCAATCAATTCAAGTCATTCATTTTTTACAACTACTGAGGTAGATATGGTTATTCCCTGTTACCAGTGAAAAACTGAAGAACTTAGCTAGTATGTTATAGAGCCAAGATATTAATTCATGTCTGCCTAACGAAAAACCCAGCCTCTTTCTTCTATACAAATTGCCTCCTAGCAATTACACAGAGACTCCGTCGCCCTAAGTTAAAAATAAGTTATCATTTTCTCTCTATTCTGTGCCCATGTAAGTGCATGCAACATTTTTAAAGGACATCTAGGGAAGAGGGCATGGAACGGACTGAAATGACACCCCTGACTGCTTGACCCCCCTCAAAAGGCGAGAAGTGCCACTTCTTAAGCAAAGACAGCTGCTAAATGGTAAAACAAAAGCCCACAGAAATCTTTCTACGATACAGGTTGCTGAAAGGAAGAAAACCACTTTTTGAATAAAAGCATTTTTTTCTGCCTTTAAAAAAAAAAGTGCTAATTGAACTAATTTAAATTGAGAATCACTTTACTGCCTCCTCACAGCTAAGGCCTGTGGGTAGCTGGGGAGATGCTTAGGGAGGCCAGGCTCACTGCAGACGCTGGCTGGCCCTCCTTGAGATGGTGGGGCCTCCATCTTTAAATTAGATCTATTATCACTTTTGTCTTTCTTGCTTTTATCAAAAGCTTTTCCTGGGGGCCGGCCTTGTGGCTTAGCGGTTAAGTGCGCGCAGTCTGCTACTGGAGGCCTGGGTTCGGATCCCGGGTGCGCACCAACGCACCGTTTGTTGGGCCATGCTGTGGTGACGTCCCACATAAGAGCAACTAGAAGGATGTGCAACTATGATATACAACTATCTACTGGGGCTTTGGGGAGAAAAAGGAGGAAGATTGGCAATAGATGTTAGCTCAGAGCTGGTCTTCCTCAACAAAAAGGAGGATTGGCATGGATGTTAGTTCAGGGATGATCTTCCTCACGAAAAATAAAAAAAAAAGCTTTTCCTTACAGAAAAGATTTCCAGAACATCTCTGGTTATGCCAGGACATAGAATTTCCCAATTTAGCCAACAGAAAGCACTGATCGCCTTGCTAGACAGGAAATTCAGCTAATATTGTATTTTCAGGTTCCCACTTGGATTAATTAACACAATAAAGTGCCTGATTTTACCGGATGAACACCATCTGTCCATAGGTATTAACCACATCTGTCCAGATTACGCCAAGCCCAAGTCACTCTCCCAAGCCATGCTGAGTTTCTGGGTCACCCAGCATCAGAAACTGGGCAGATTGGATTAAAAAGCTTAACTAAAAAATAAGCATGTGTTAAAAGCTCTTGCATGATGGGAATTTGAGGAAGATAGCCAAGTGGATAACCCAGTCTCCAGGCTAGTCTTTAGATAACCTCCAGCTTCTTCTTTGCCTAAAGAAGACAGTTGTGTCAGGCCTGTGGAAGTGGACCCTGAAGGCTCCCCTAATTGGGAGAGCCTCAGTTCGTTCATTCAGTTGTTTGCATTAGCATTACAGTGTGTTTTTTGGGACTCTTCCAATTGAGCTCAAAGGAAGCCTCTCTGGAATGAGCTGGTGGTATGGGGATGGTGCAGACAGCTGTTCCCGGCTCTCTTCTCGTTGTGATGTGAAATCTTCCCTAGGTGGTCTCATCTACACTGATGGACTCACTTATCACCTCTTTTAGTGGCTGTCTCAGTCTAGGGCCTTTGAAATCCCAGGATCAGGATTTTTCAGAATTTCAAGAAACCTAGTGAAAATAACACGCTTCTAACATAAGGTTATTTTTGAGCTAAGACTCCTGGTTTGTTGCATTGGCTTGAAGTGTTATCAGCTCAGCGAGTTAACATCTGAGATTTGAAGCCAATCAAAAGCTTTGATAGTCAGGTATCTAGGTTTTTAATTTAAGAAATGGGGAAGTTGATGAAATATTACTAGATAAATGCATCATTTTAGGGACAAAATCTTCGGAATCAGAGTGATTCAAGAGTGAGAAGTGTAGGCTCCGTGGACACATGTTGCTAACTGCCAAATGTGTTGTCCCCTGCCCTAGTGCCTCTCCTAAAAGCCACTGTCCACTTACCACTGCATATTCCAGGCACTTCAAACTCTGTTTCCAAAGCTAGTATCACATTTCGCCCAAACCAGTTCCACTTTCTTTGTTACCCAGGTTATAACGACATCACTACAGACACAGTTCATTGTATTTGCTAATTTCTTTGTTCATTCATTCGTTCATCTGTTCATTCATTCAAATATTTTAGTACCCAGCAGGTGCCAGAACCTGGGAGTGATTTTCAATTCCTCTTGATCTCTTACCTTCACCAGAGGATTGGCTCCAAAGCAAGTCTTGTCAGTTCTATGCTTTCAAATCCATGTCTTTTGTTCCATCCTTATTGTCACTGCTATTTTTGAAATGGGTTTAGATGAGCCACTGTGTGGCATATGACGGTCTGGCTAATGCTATCCAATAGCACTTTCTGCAATGAGGGAAACGTTCTCTCTCTGCCATCCAATATAGTAGCCATTAGCAACATGTGGCTATTGAGTACTTGAAATGCAGCTAGTGTAACTAGAGAGCTAAATTTTTTATTTTATTTATTTTTATTTTATTTTAATTAATTTGAATTTAAAATCAACTAGCCACGTACTAGACAGTGCAACTCTAGACCAATGCTTTCCAGAAAGAGTGCCCAAGCAGCCCTCCTGCAAGGAGAGCGTGAATTCACAGCCCTGGGGTACACCATCAAAAGCACAAAACGTCTTTAAAACCTCCTGCTTTAGTCTATTCCATAACATACCAACGTTTATCTTTTTTTATTTGTTTGTTTTTTTGTGAGGAAGATTGGCCTTGAGCTAACATCTGCTAATCCTCCTCCTTTTTGCTGACGGAGACTGGCCCTGGGCTAACATCCTCTACTTTATATGTAGAGGATGGGCCATCTTCCTCTACTTTATATGGGACGCCACCACAGCATGGCCTGACAAGCGGTGTGTCGGCGCACGCCCGGGATCCAAATCGTCAAACCCCAGGCCGCCGCAGTGGAGCGGGCGCACTTAACCGCTTGTGCCACCAGGCCGGCCCCAACCAACATTTTATCTTAAAATAAGAAGATTTTCTCCCAGATATTTGAGTAAAATCGGGAAGGTAGTTCATACTTATTCTGTATTCCCCCAGTTTGAGAAGCACAGGCCTCAACAGTGGTCTGCTACCTCGTCTCTCTCCAATTCAGCTCATCTTCAAGAGAATCACTAGAGTAATTCCTCCAAACCATGGATCTGATCATGTCACTAATAATAATAATAAAATTAAATAATTATGTTTATAATAATATATAATATAATGATCCTTATTATTATTATAGCTGAATTATTGTGTGAATACCATGTTCCAAGCACTATACTAAATTTTTTTTTCATATTATCTTATTTATTTCTGGGTGTATGATTATCTCCATTTTACAGACATGAAAACGGAGCCTTAGGACAAGCCACTTACCCAGGGCCACAAAGGTAATCAGGGTTATAGCCAGAATTTGAATCCAAGCAGTGTAATTGGAGAACATACGTTGTAAATTATTACATTTCCTCCTTAAACAGCTCTGAGGGTTTCTTCCACTTAATAGGGCAAATTCACAGTCTTCATGGGTACAGTTAAGGTTTTTTAGTGATCTATCCTATCCCTAGTGCCTCATTTCCTCCCAATCCTACACATGCTCTGCATAATTCCATCTAGCCACATCATATGCTTCTCCATTCCCCAAAGACACTCGTGGCTTTCATGCTCCCGTGCCTCCTCATACCACCCTGTGTATTTCTCTCCCACAGCATTTGCCACAAGTTTACACATGTCTCCCCAACTAAACAGCAAATTCCTCAAGGACAGGAGCCATGTTTCACTCATATTTGAAACTCTAGTGCCTAACACATAGTAAGCATTCAAGTAAGTAATGCTTGTTGAAGTCAAATTATGTTGTTTTACTTTGCTCATGTTATTCCCTCTATGCAGCAGACATCGTGCTCCTCTGAGATTCAGTACTGTCTGCCCTCTCCCTGATTCTCTCCCCCCATCAGGCGGAGTTGGCAGATGCACTTCATGTGTTCACGTGCAGTTTTATGTTTAGTAAAAGTGTCTGTTTGTCCCATGAGATTATGAGCTCCTTCAAGGTGGGACCCACATTTATATGTATATTTTTTCATATTTGTTATTCTACGGCTAATATAGCATTTGGCAGAGAGTAAGAACTCAATTAGATAAACAAATAAATCTAAATGCATTGCCAGTTTGACCAGACCTTACTGCATGTCCTTTCCTCTTTCTTGCTATCTTCCTCTTTGCTAATTCATTTTACGTCATCCGCTCTATCAGGATGAAGTGCAGAGGTGGACTTCTAACCATCTGTTTATGTTCTCATTGTTATCTCCAGCAAAACGTTACCAAAAAAGTTTAAATTATTGCTTGAAAATCATTAAGAGGGTTTATAAGTTCTCTCTCTTTCAACTAAGAAAAACGTACTTATAGTCCTGACAATAACCTTACCAAGTTTCCAGCACAATGCTTGGTACATAGCATGACATGATAAATGTTGAATGAATGAATGGAATTTTTATGCTAAACTTTCTGGCACAGTTAAGTCAATCTAAGGAAGAGAATATCCTCGAGTGGGACAAAATCCAGGCAAGTGCTTGGTTGAGGAGTGTGGAAGGTAGAATCCTAAGAAGGCCTGTAAATTCCACCCCTGGTGTACACACCCTCTCTTTGAGTGTGGGTGGGACTGTGAAAATGACAGGACATCATTCCTGTGATTAGGTTACAAATCTGTTGAGTTAATGAAAAGGGAGATTAGGTTAAAGCCTTAAAATGGCAAGATTCTCCCACTGGCCTCCAGAAAGAAAGCAAGCAGCCAAATTATGGGCTGCCTATGAAGGGGGCGGCTTCCAGGAGCTGGGGACCTCAGTCCTAAAACACAAGGAACTGACTTCTGCCCACAACTGGAATGAGCTTGAAAGAGGACCCTGAGCTTCACCCCTGGATGACAGCTTTATGAGACTAGAGCAGAGGATCCAGCCAAGGTGGGCCCAGACTCCTGAACAACAGAAATTATGAGATAACTTTGTACTGTTTTAAGCTGCTAAATTTGTGGTCATTCGCAAAGAAAACTAATACAAGGAATGTTACACGACAAAGCAGTAACTTTCAATTCTACACACCTATTACATTACAAAGACTAATCCTGTTCCTAAAAGAAGTCCCCCTGGTGTTTTATTTGCCTGCCATGAAATCTTTTATTGATGAAGCCCTGCCTATCAGATGCACAGTTTAGAGCAGCATGTGCATGTCAGCAATGAGGATGTCTTTCTTACTAAGATTTGTTGACCTAACACTCCCAATTATAGCACTGGAAGCAAGGACATTAACTACCCCAATCAGGCAGTCCAGGCAAACATTTATTTGTGAGCTGGAAAAACCATTTGCTCAGTCTTGGGCTGGCGTTTGGGGTTATATTCTTTCACTGATACTAAATATACTCTCAGATTAAATGCTAATAACAATGACAATAGGTTAGTTGTTTTCGTTTTGAACCTTGGCTCACAGGCAATGATTCAAAGGTTGCAACCAAAGCAAGAAAGAAACCTGCTCTTAAGGCGATTGTCCTTCTGGTGCCAACTGGAACAATCTAGGCAAAGGCTGGTGGAAGTGAAAGGAACTGTGTACAAAGCTCGTCTAGTTTTGCGTCTTTTTAGAGTCTGACCTTCAAGTGGGCACAGTAGAATTACTGCAAGAAGAAATCCGACAAGACAATGATCCTGCTCCTCCTTTCTCCCCAATTTCTTTCTTGAAAAGAACCCGGTCTGGGCCCAACTTTTCCTTTTTTTCAATATCTGCCAACATAAACACCAACTCCAGCATTTTAAGTAGGGGGGTTACCATGGGGATGTAAGCAGTACATGCAGAGTGGCGGCGGCTGCAGCACAGGGGAAGGACCCAGACAGGGGCCACTAGTCACTTGCACTTCACACCATGTGGAACAGCCTGCTTGAAAGAAGCCAGAATGGCAGCAGGCCATGGGGTCCTGCTTCAGGGTGACTTTGCCTTCCCCTGCTCATCACCATGCCCAGCTGGGAAAAGCGATCTTCATTTTCACTTTCTCTTGACTTATTCTATGGAATTCGATTGGCCCAGAGATACATTTTGTTAGCTGGCATTCTCAATTCTTACTCCATGCAACCCAGAACACAGTGAATAAAAGGGAGTTTAGGAAATGCCAGCGAGTTTTAAAGAGGTCTTGGGACTGTAAAGACCACAATTGGGAGAGAGAGATAGATACAGATAAGAGAACTGAATAACACATGATTTCAAGGGTAAAAAAATTCAAAAAGATGAAATCTGCATTCATAGAAGATGGCTAATTTAAGATGAACTGTAGGTCACAAAGGATACCCACCATCTGAAAACATATATGCTAGATCAATTACCAACATACCGTTCTAGAACAGATAAAAGATATGATTATCACCATGATCTTACAGGCTGAATAACAGAGCTAAAGAAATCAAAGGGATTTGCATAAATCCATTGGTCTAGAGAGCAGGAGGACCAGAACAACTGATTACTTGTTCTCCATTTCTCAGTTTTTGTCCTAAAGAACCTTTCTCTCCATGGTTTCTTCAACTGAATTCTTTGAACTCATAAGTAATGTCACAAGCAGCAATGCCAGAAAGAAAACATCAAACCTTGATTGAAAATTTGGCCCATCTCAGACCAGCCCCTTGCCCCTCTGTGCCCAAGGGACCATGTCTTATTCATCTTTGTACTCCTGAAACCTAGCCCAGAGGGTGGCACATGGTAATCTACTTGTGAATATTTGTTGAATTGAACTGAGTGCACTCTCTGCCTATATATAGTGTGGAAAAGATCTCAGCTCTCAATCTGAACTGTCTTTCTCGGAGAAAGTGTGTCACTGCAGTGTGCTAGTAAGACCACTACAGGCCCACAGTTACAACATGTGCCAATGAAAGAGGTACCTAGTAATATGAAAACAGAAAGTCCTGCCTTTTCTGTCACTGTAGCTAAGTCATCCCTGCTACGCACTCAGAGCGAGTAGTAGTGGAAATAAAAATCACCCCCTCCAATCATGCATTTTCCTGGAGCTGTATAAAACCAATGGCTTATCCAGTCTCGCAGCCCTCCTTTACCTGACCTACAAACCTTTCTCAGGCTACCATCTGGCTCAGCATTTAACATGGTGAAAATGGAGCCTTGAGCGAGGGCCAGCCGTGGATTCCAACCCTGGATGAGGGATTCTCCCAGAGGACAGCACAGCCCTGTTGGTGACTCACCGCGCATCCAGAAACCGGGAACGCAGGATCATGACGGCCTCACACGTGCTCTGCTTGAGCTGCATCTGGATGGAGCTGAACTTGCGGTGGATGATACTGACCATCCGCTCGATCTCCTTCGGGGAGATGGGCCTGGTCCGGCTTTGCTCTCGCAGGAGATTCATCACGTGGGTGGTGAACTCGTTGCATGCCTGGAACGGCGAGACAGTAAACACCCAGCATGTTGAGGGTCCAAGCCTCAGCACACGTCAGGTCCTTTACATAAGGCCATGTGGGCTTTTCTAGAGACTTGTGCAAGTAAGGAAAACTGGGCTAGTTTGTGGTATTTTGTTAAATCAGAAGGATAAAATAAATGACTGCCTGGAAATCCCTTTCAGAGCATTTGATTCCAACTTTTGGCCACGATGTAGATTTTTTTTTTATGGGAAAAGAAAATTCTTCAACAAATTTTTTCTTAATCATTTTTGTTCATGATTTTTACTACTGTGAAAGATGAGAACATGAATCCTGCTATAAAACACTTCACAACCCTTCACCCCAATGTTAACAGCCAAAGAGAGTTTGGGGTCAAATGTAGCACGAACTTCTGCCTTTCTCATTATCTCTAATATAGTTAGAGCTTCCAAATATTCAATTCTGGGATGCATAAACAGCCAAAGTGTGGAATCATGGAATTTAAACCTTTGGTAACTCTTCCGGGAGATTTTTCACCAATCTATTTATACCTCTAGTTTTATTATAAGAACTCTCTCCTACGCTAGCTTTCTGAAGATTCATATGTCTAGGACAAAGGGAATCTGTCCTCAGAGGCCTTATAGAAATAGCATCAAAACATGACTTCGAGGATTCAGGAGCTCTCCCTGCAGAAAGGAAAACTTTGAGGCTACTGACCAACATACCATCAGCTCTGGAAGTAAAGTTGGAGATCATTTTTTCCACCTCCTTACTTTACAGTTGGGAAAACTGTGGCCCAGAGAAAGGAAGGGACTTTTCCAAAGTCACACAGCAAAAAAGCATCAGCTGAGGCAGGCCCTCAACAGTTCCTATTCCAGGCCAGGGGCTTCTGTCCCTTCCTAGAGCCTGAACTTACTCCTCTGAATACCACTGCCCTTTCTTTTAGTTACTATTACTTATCATCTGTAGTCTGACTTTCTTAGCTAAGCGTTCAATAAAATAACTATGCATAGGTTCACTCACAGCACTGTCATAAAACTGTATTAGATTTGTAAAGAAAAAGGCAAGATGATGCTTTGAGAGTTAAAGGACCAAGGTCTCAAAGGTCTTCAGTTTAATATTAACAGAAACACTCATTAATGATAACATTGCAGTGCCATTATTTTTACAGCACAAAGCCCTTCATATGTGTCAATAATGCAGTAACAATAACACATTTACTGTTCGTTTCTCTAAGAAATCCTTCGAGGTTGGTCAGCCAAAAAGATACACAGGTAGATGCATTCACTGGGCTGTGTCTACACTGCAGACTGGGAGGCCTGGTTTTTTACCCTGCCTCTATGAGTATTTGGGCAACACCTTTCACTATTCAGTGCCTCATTTTATTCGTCTGAGAGTGGATTTAACCATTCCTAACCCTTTAGCAAGGCTGGCAGTGCCCATGCTCTTGTGTAGTGACCTGCAGATGGAGTAAAATCGCTCACAGGAACACAGCAGAGTGGGCTGAGTAAGAGCACAGATCCTGCCTCTGGGACTCACTTGGCTGTGGGACCTTGGGTACTTATATAACATCTCTGAGCCTCATGTTCTTTATTTGCAAAATGAGAGTGACAATACCCAACTCAAAGAGTATGGTAAGGATTAAATGAGCTATCATGTGTGTATCTGGCCATATAAACATGTGTCATTATCATCTCTTCAAAATATAGAGAACCAAGAAACCCAACATATTCTCATGATTGGGTAACCTTCTCCAGGCTTCAGTTTCCCTCTTGGTAAAAATAAAGGGAGTCATAAATACCTTCTTTCTATCTGCAGGCATATGCTGAAGACAAATCCATAGAAAATCAGGTCCACAGAGCATTTTGCTCTCCACTAAGAAAATTACTATATTAACACAACATCTATATTATAAGCTTCTTCCCTCTCCACCCCCAACCACCCCCACCAACTGTACAGAAAAGGGAGGGAAATAAACCTGGCAGCAAGTTGGCTGAAATTTGAGGCCATGGGGCAGGGAGCAGAGGATTAAGCATGTAGGAAGCAGCCCAATCAGCTTTCTGGGGGAAGCGCTGCACCCTACTGGGCTGCAGGCTCCCCACCTCATGGGGGCTCCAAGGGAGGAGGGGCTGGATGTGAGGAGGTATTGTCAAGTGCACTTGCTCTCTGCTGGGAAGCCACAGTGCTTGGCTAATAATAATGTGCTTCATTACAGTGAATAAAAATACTCACAATATCTGATGTTTATTCAGGGCATTTTATCCCGGGGCCCTTTCTGTTCTGCCATAAACAGACAGTGGAGTCTTTTCACCCACTGCTGAGGTGGAGCAGGGCAGCTGCTCACCAGCTGCTCAGGAACACACAACAGAGAGCGGAGAAGAGTTCCAAGTCCATTTTAGACGGACGGAACATAACGATCCAGATTTTTCTACGACCTGAACTACGCACGTCTCCTCCTTGGCTCCCCCAAGCTCAGCCCCTTCAGAAGCCGCGCTGCCTCCATTAGGTCAGGCGCTCACGATGCGACAGGAAGGGGAATAGCTGGGGTTACAACATTAATTAAATAGAACCTCACGGGCTGAAAGTTTTGTGACGGAGAAGAGTCTGCTTGAGACTGTCATAAAGACAGTCACTTTCTAGAGCTACCACTCCAGCTGCCCCCTGAGAGCAGAGGATTTCTGAGAGGAGATGTCCCAGGTTCCAGATCAAGGGCATTTCTGGGAGCAGGAGACTAAAGAGAAGCCCTCTTGGAAAGTCTTGCTTTGTGTCCTAGAGTTCACACCTATAGTCTGCACTCCATTCAGCCTGTCTTCTTCCTTTACTCCTTCAAACTGGATTGGGCTGTCAATCTTTGCAATGAGGGTAATCAGCATTTTAGGATCCTCTTAGCTGTGGACAGAACTAACCCAGCCCAGTTCAGCCTGAGAGATTCAGCCAGTCAATGCCCTGACAGCATTATTTATAAAAGCTGAAGGACCCTGCAAAGCTACAAGAGCATCAATTTTTTGTTTTTAAACAGCACTTGGAATAATATCCAGGTTTGTGACATCATGGTTTTATCTATTAGAATATGCCAGCTCTTAAATACCTTAGCTACCAACATGATCTGCTGAAAAAGTGTTTTACCAACCTCATTTAATGACTAAAACAATTTCCTTCCTTTATTTCTAATGAAAGTCTCTAGAAGCCTTCTTTATTTAATACCGTCAGAGTGAAACAATGGCTGATTCAGGTACTTTTTTTTTTTTTTTTTTGAGGGGTGGGGGCAAGGAGGGCTCTGATAGCTAATTACCGGAAAACTAACTGATCGTGTGGTATCTAACACCACCATACAAAAACAAAACAAACAAAACAACAGAATCAACTATTAAATAGGCGATTCATTATTTTCATATAGGTACTACTAAAATAGAGAGTGACATTTTTACTTTACTGAGGTTTCCTATTTTTAAAAAAGCTCCCACGAGGAATGGCTACGGAAAAATGAAGATACATCTCTCAGACATATTAGCTAGAAGGTTAATGGTATAATTTCCCTATAATCTGCTATTTACTATAATTAACAATACAACTAAGATTAATAAATTATTAAGCACCCAGAGTGTGTTAAGCAATATTCAGTTCTTACCCAGAAAATGCCCATGTAGATGAATAATTTTTTAGTACTTTTTAAGAATAATAAATACAGACAGCTACTACATTTCTACATTTACATAATTTGCTCTGTACTGACGGAGTTTTCCTTAAGTTTCCCATTTCCAACATCTTTACTCTTTAGAATAGGTAGATATTCCTGAGAAGTTTCTGAAGGAGAATATTTTTATCACTAGCCTCTCTTAGGTACCAGCAATCTAGTCCATGGAGGTAACAGAGAGAACAAGCTGGTTACTCCAATGCCTACACAAATATATACTCTCTGAAGCAGAGTCAGGCATTGTTCCAATAAGAGCCCTAGGCTAAGGGTCAAAAATTAGATTCCAGGGCAAACTCTGTCCCTTACTGGAAGTGTGACCGAGACACATCACCTAACGTCTTTGACCTCCATTTCCTTACCTGTATCAAAATGGACACTATGACAGTACCTGTCCTGGGTACCCAACCACAAAATTACCTTGAGGAGCAAGTGCAGTTAGGGCGGCAAAAGTGTTTTGCTCATTTTGGACAAGGACAGAAGAGTAACAAGGGGGTTTAAATCAAGAAAACAGTCAGTTCTTCTATGTTGTTGGCAACCTGAGCTAAGAATAAAGCCAGTTTCCAACCTACCATCCATTGCAGTTATGGGTTTAGTGGAGAAAGCTACACTCTGGGCTCTTCTTGTGCCCCTGGAGTTTGGCATGAGTTAACCTGGATGACAGGCTTAGATAGGTTGTTATGCCAGAGAGCAGACTTAGTGATAAAGTAGGAAGAACACTGAGTAGAGAGAACCCAAGAGGCCAGCTAGGGACCTTTATAGGAAACATTCCTATCTGTCTTCTCAAGTTATCCCATAGGTTAGGGCAGACTCTGAATTCTAAAATGATGGTCCAAGTGGGGGAAATTGTCATGGATCAGCCAGCTATCTGAGCTCAGCATCTCCTGGGCTCTGGGGAAGTGCCTACATGAGCCAAAACTATGGCAAGAACATTGGTTCTTTCCCAAGAAGGTGGAGGGTGATGACTCACAGGTTCTTACCACAAGATTGCTTTTATTTTCCTCTCCTTGAACCCTCCCTACACCTTGTCTGATGGTGGAATTTCACCATGCTTGGCTTTAAGCTTCACAGCAACCCCCCCCCCCCCATAAAAGAAGGGACTTTGTAGAAATCCATTTCAAAGGTAGATAGGAGTGCAATAATGAAAATTTATTCATTTTAAATTTTAAAATGCCTATTTCTATTTGAAAATTTAAATTTTCTATTAAGTTTGCCTTTGCCTTCTACCTAGACAGCCATAAGTGGACTATAGAGCGTCTTCTACTTTTTGCCCTTTCTCCCTCTTCTTTTGTGACTCTTAAAAAAGAAAAGAAAGCCAGAAACCTAACAATTCAGTGAAAGTAAGTTAACTGTAAAACTTCAGGACAAAGTTGCATCTAAAGAGGTGACAACAAACATATTTGTCAGCTAAATGATGGGAGGAAAGGCTGATGTTAAGAGACTCCTAATAAAGTAGTATTGCTCATACTGACCAGAGGAAACATGATATTTAAATTCATGTATGTGTGTGTGTGGAGGGGGAGATCTCTAGTAGAGAGGGGCTGTGTTATAATTAGAATACCTTATACATACCTACCACTTCATAATTTAAAGCCTTTCTTATCCTTTCCTTCATACGATTTTTATGGCCCTGTAATATCCTTGACTCCAAATCCACAGCACTTTGCCATATACCACCAGCTTCTGGGGTAGAGTATGTGGAACACTGGGTCCCACAGACCATCAGTGGAGTGTCCGGATTGGAATCCAACTTTATCTGATTCCAGGGGTCCCCTGAGACCCTCGACTCTTTTTATAGAGAAAGGTGTGTTTCGTATTGCATATCATACATAAAAAGGAGAACATGTTTGATTCTCAACTGAATTGAGTCTGGGTAGAGAGAGGGACTCTAAGGCCAAGTTTTAGTATCCTTTCCCTTAGGATTCCATGAGCACCCAGAAGATGAAGAATCCTCCTAAATAAGGAGCAAACAAGGGCCAGAGGAGCCCAACTATCTCCCCGCAGGTCAGGTGGTGACTCTGCTCAGGACCTATATCATCCTGACAAGACCCCAGCTGCAGGCGATGGGCAAATATTCCAGAGTTCCAGGCACTGACTGTGCCTTATATTGACTATTGCCGTTTCCTGAAATCATCATTTACAACTTAATTTTTTTTAACGCCTTTATCTCCAGTTTGCTTGGGTTTTTCATAGTGGAGACCAAGGACTTAGTGGAGTCGAGTTCGGCAAGTGGCTCTGTGATTAGACAGGAAATGCTGGACACAAGAATGCCAACGTCCAGGCAAGGCTGCCCCCTCGGTCTCTGCGAGCCCCCAAGTCTTATGTTCCCTCCACCCTTCCCTAAAGGGCCCAGGGTGCCCAGGACCCCTCCTGGCTTGGTTTACCTGCTCGTATTTCTCCAGTTCCGTGTGGTAGATTTGTCTGATCTGTGAGAGTTTGGCTCTGTAATCGGAATGCTCCACTGAGTTGTCTGAACCCGCCCCTCCAGAAGCTGCCGCTGCCGCCGCCGCTGCAGCCGAGCCACCGCCCTTCTCAGGCCCCGCCACCCCTTCCGCTAACAGCATGTTGTCCAGTCGCATCAGCTGGGGGTCTGTTGGCTCCTCTTCCTGGGCGCCCCGGATACTCAAAACTGCGGGAAGACACAAAGAGATGGGGAGCGTTAACAGTAACCCAAGGGAGAAATTTTTTTTTTTAAAAGTCTCATTTGGTTAAATAAGTTCAAATTACTTGCAATACGGTATCTGAGAAATGGGCAAAGGGCTGGAAAAAGACAGACACTGAGAGGGGAGAAAATGCAAGGAGAGATTCACTTTGTTCCAAAAATTAATTATACTTCATTTACATGAGGTACCTAGAATAGTCCAATTCACGGAGGCAGAAAGTAGACTATTAGGTACCAAGGGCTGGGGCAGGAGGGCATAGGGAGTTAGTGTTTAATGGGTACAGAGTTTCACTTGGGGAAGAAGAAAGAGTTCTTGAGCTGGGTGGTGGTGATGGTTGTACAACAATGTGAATGTACTTAATGCCACTGAACTGTACACTTAAAAATAGTTAAAATCATAAATTTTATGTTAGTGTATTTTACCACAATAAAAGACGTTTCAAAAGTACAAAGGAACTAATTATAACAGAATATAATTTTCACTTTCATCCTCAAAATGCCACATTTTAATTCAAGGAAAAGCATTTCCTTCTTCATTTCTAATTTTAGATTTCTGTGAGTTTGTGGTTTTATACTCATTGAGTTTGTAATATTTGATCGGCCTAAATTTTCATTTCCCAGATAACCTAAACCAGGCAAATCCAGTTAATCTGGAGTGAAATCTCAAGACCTTTCCCTTGGACTAACAGAGAGAGTAGAAAAGTCTAAAACAGCAAGAAGACAAATCGGCCCCACAGTAGGAATGTTTATCTCCCAAAATTGAGATCTATCCATTCCAGGTAAGAAGGAATCCATCCTGTTGGAAACAAGGGTGAGACCCTCTTAACAAGCTGTCTCAGGGATTCAGAGAAGCCGGTATTCTGGTAGGATGGAGGAAGCTCAGATCAATGAGATGACCGCTTTTTATTAAAACCACGGACCATTTGGGGGGCGGGGTGATTTGGACTGAAAGAGATCAAGCGATTGAGTAAATCAGCAGAAGAGAGAGGCAGTCTATTTTTACTACCATCATACAACCTGCCATAAAATAAATCACTCATCTAAACCCAGTTTAGTCGTCAGCAGCCAAGTCTTTGTTGAGAGGGAACATGAAAAGAATTTCCAATTAAAGTAAAAACCGAAAAAAAACTTTTGGGTAGGGTAGGAAAGGAGGGAAGTGATTAAAGGCAGGGAAGAAGCCGTCCCGTGTTCCTTCCCATTTTAGGGATGGGGATGGCAGGGTGTCATGGGCCCGGTGGATATAAGAGCACTGCAGCCATCTGAGAGGCAAGAGCTGTTTCAGGGCAGGGCGCATGTGGTGAGCCCAAAGGGGATGGTGCCAGTTCCAGTAGACTCTGGAGCCCTAGCAAGGCACCCCACAGGGTTGTGACAGGGAAGGTGGAGATGAGCTCAATATGAGGGGACAGGTAGATGTTCAGGGCATTCCATCATGTATAATACCAGCATAACTGCTGGCTGCACCCACATGCTCCTGGCTTCTAACAGGCATGACAAGGACCAACCTTGAAAGTTGTTCAGAAGGAATCTCACCTCCTGTGCTGAAGGGAAAACTGTGGCACTGCTTTCATGAAACACGAGACAGTCAGTGGGAAGTCACGCCACGTGGACCAGTGGTGGCAGCTAGGAGCAGAGGATTAAAGGCACAGGGTAGAAACAGGTGCTCCTCGATGAAGTAAGAGAGGATGGGTGGAGGGAGGGTAGGACGTGGGGAAGGCAGTTGGCTGGGGAGGAAAGAAGGAAGCCAGCCCCTACACACAGCAAATGCTCAGGACCCAGGATCTTCTCCTTTCCTATCTGAATTTTTAATATTCTCCTGCACTAAAATAAAATTGCTATATTGGTGATGGTACAGGTTGCGGTTTATTTTGTGGATTTTTTTCCAATGGAATTCTTCTTTTGGAGGCTCAGGAGACTAAATGGGAAATTGCTTCCTTGAATAATAAAGATTTAGTCATGTTATTCAGTTCCTTGAATTTATTACTCAAATCTCCAAAGTCCTCTGAAGAGCATATCACCAACAACAAAGGTTTTCATAAAAAAGCAAGTGAATGCTCTACCCTCTTCCTGAATACCAGTCCCTAAAGGTGCTAAAAAGATTCTGACCACCCGAGCACCTGGTGTTAGAGCCCAGAAGCCCTCCTTCCTCACCTCACGGTCCAGCGAATTCTTCGAGGTGAGGGCATTAGTGTGTGGGGTTTATGAGTGTTTCTCTAGGGAATTTTACTTAGTGAATTTTAAGTGTTTTATCAACAAAAATATTCATGGGCCACTTAAAAATGAAAACAAAAATCATATCTGAGTCATTCTTAAAAAATGAATGTATTGTTCCACGTTAGCTTGGTCATTAAAAAAAACTGTGCTGGGGCAAAATTCTATTCTCGAAAACACTCTCCTGAATCTCACCCCCAACACACTCCAGAGGAGCCCGCAAACTCGTGGAGAGCAGCTGCTGGGGCTGATGGAAAAGCTCCCCAAGATGCTGAGCTGGTAACACTCCAGCTGGGGGATAATGCCTCCAGGTGGTCCTCCTGGTTACTCCATAACCAATCCCTCTTGCACCTGACCCAACACTGAAAGATGTTATAGTAATTTCTGGTCTCAACAACGGTAGCAAAGCAAAACAGAACAATGTCATCTTAACGGTCAGGACGTGCCTTACTACGCTAGCCTACGCACTGCACTGCCTACCTGAGACGATGTCCAGGATCCTCAGACAGCATCTGTGCCTAAGATTGCCTTGCTCACTCCATTAGCTTATCCCTCTAGCAAAGTTCAATTAGTTACGAGAGAAGTAAGAGAGACAGAGACAGGCGCCCACAGACCAAAGTGCTGGTACTAGTTCCTCCAGAGACTAGGTAGCTGGCGGTGGGCATGTTACCACCACTACTTCCCAGTCGCCCAATATCGACCTGAGAATGTGTGCCCTTTCTGGCCCCTCTGACTTGCACCCACGCCCATGCTCCACTTTTTCTTTTAAACCATCAATGGGAAGCACAAACTATCCACACAAACTCTGCACACTTATCTAGTTAATATTTTCCTTGGTCTTGAAATCTAACTGGTTTTAAAAAAAATAGAAAGAAAATTGCTAAGGCTGGCAAAAGACACTGAAAGGACACACTGAAAGCACCTACCCTCCATGGAAGCTTCCAGATGATCATAAAGTGTAAAACACTAATCTATATTGACTCTCTTTTTCCCCCCTCAGGTATGAAGGATACATTTAGTTGGGGAAAAAAAAGAAATGCAGTAAAAGTGTTAGCATTTCACTTAGCTTTTGTATCATTTTATGAATCTTATAAACAAATACTCTTCAAAAAGAAATTTGGATTCACCAAGATTTAATATAATTGGTTTTTGAATGTGGCCAATAAGAAATTGGTTTGATAGAAATACAACGTACTAAAACATAAATGTTGCTTGCGTTTATATTCAGAGTTCAGGACACATAAAAAGGCCCCAAACCAGAGATTTGAAGGAAATAGAAGAACAGAAAAACAGGAAAAAAAGACAACAACAATCTTCTCCAAATTACACCCTTTAAATTATACTCAAATCATTATGAACGTAAAAAAATTTCAGAATATGTATCAGAACGCCCCTCCCACCAAAAAAACCAACATAAACAAGAGAAAACATTCCTCTTCCATTATTTTACATAGAAGATTCTGGTTCTGATGGTCTTGGGCTGTGTCTGCATGTTTGGAGGAGGCATGGATGGACCAATAAACAACACTGCATGCACATATTTCTACCCAGAAGGAGGAGAATCTGAATGTACCACTATAAAAACGGGTGTTGGGATTCACTGATACGGAAACTGTTCAGCCAGTCAGCAAAAAAAAAAAAAAAATTCCACCAACATTAAATAAATAAATGAAAAGGGTGATATGTCTAAGCAGAACTGATGCTGCCGATTTATTGCTTGAAGCCAGCACTCTGGCGAGTAGGAGACAAAATGATTATTTAAAAGCTCCTTTTTATCTCTGTGGCACCATGCAAGACTCAAATGAACCTTTCGCCAGGACACCAGAGATGTTAACACTCATCCTCCAAGATCCAATTTCAACCAGCGGAGCTGTTACCTAATCCAGCAACCATCACATATGATCAGGTTCCTGCTTGCCTGATGGGCGCCCTGCGCCCTCCCCCTCCCCTCACCTCTTTGCTCCCCAGTCTGACAGCTTTTACTGAAACAGGTTTTAAAGGGCCAAATCCCCTGTTTATGCCAGTGCACATAGGCTTTTAAAAGTCAGGTCTGCACACTTCCAACACCAAAAATGTAATCAACTACAGTGGATTCCCTACCCACAGAGGGGTCGCCCAGCGAGATTTTTAACTCTTTGGTAATAATTCGTAAAGAAGGAGTTTCCTTTGCACAAATCTACCCCCTCATTTAAGAGACCAGACAAGGCAGGTAAGTGATTTATATAGAAGTTGTCACAAGCCCTTTAAAAAGCATCTGATGTCACATCTACCTTGCTGCCATCGCTGGCCCTCGGGTTAATTCTGTGGTGAAACTCCCAAGATAAGGGGACTGTCACAGCCCTGTCGGAGCTGCTCTCACAACCGGCCTCCCGCTGTGCTTTATTTATTTATTTTTCTTCACACAAGGAGAAAAACAAACCAAACCCAAAGGCATGTTCAAGATCCTTGGCAGGAGGGCTGCGAGCCGGTTGTTTTGTCTTTGCCGGAGCTGTGACACGGATCTGCAGCAGCTCCAGACGGTGCCCACTAGAGGGCACTCTTTCTTCACCAAGGACTGGATGGGCTGGGAGGGCCCTGTTGTTCCCAGTCCCCAGGTGAGCGCTGGGGACGAAATGTCCCTGCTTAGATTCAAACTTCCACAGGCGGGGCAGGCAGAGGGGGAAGAGGGCAGATCTACAGAAAGACTTGTCTTCAGATTTGGACAGCAGTCCAGGGACCCAAAGCTCGGCTGGGAGATTGAGATGATAGAGATATTGAGA